CCGGAACCCATATTGGAGCTCCGACTAAATCTAAATCGCGCTCTACAAGACATTCATGGATGGTGCTCCCAACAAAATTTTCTCCATATCTAGGACTCAAACCCGAGACCTCTGGTTAAGGGTGAATCGCTCCTACCAGTGCACCACAACCCATGTTGGTGAAGCTACAATAGTTAACATGTAAGTGTGCTGCCAATTTTGACAAGCTAAACGAGTTTAAACGACTCTGACAAGGATGGCAGTGCTCAAATAGACAGAGCATGATCACAATATTGATGGTGGCGAAGGCATGTATTCAAATAAACAAAGCATGTATAATACAATATTACAAAAAAATGTTATACGATCAATTAAACATGGAAAAGAGCCTAAAATGTCCCTAAACTATTTGAATTGATATAAAATTACCCTCCATTTATTTTTGGGCTCCAAATACCCTGACGTTAACCTTCTAGCTAAAAAATATCCTTATGTCTAACAGATCATACTCATTAGGTGGATGAAGGGCAATATTGTACCAAATATCATAATTTAAAGGTATTTTAGGCCATTTTCCGTTAAAATAATTTAAAATTACTTAATATATAAGCTCAAGTGATTGACTTGATTTTGAGTTTCATAGTAATTAAAAAAAAAAGGTTAGACATCAACTCTCTACACCTCCCCCGCCCTTCACTTCCTATCTCTTCCTTTTTTTTCTATTTGGATCTTGTCCACCATTTAATTATTATTTTTTCAATTTATGACAAACAAGAGAGAAAATTGAGGAATATAACGATGCATTCATATAGAAATAATTAGTTCAATAAAAGATGACTTAATTAAGCAAATATGTAAAAATATTACATTTTTCTTTTGTGTGTACCCAAAATTCAAAATAAAAGAATAAAAATAATTATTTCTCCTATCCCCACCCTCATTCCACCATAACAATAATACAAATTAAAAGAATATAAACATGTGAGTTGGATCCCCATTTATGAGTTGAGTTACGGTATAATAAATTGGGGGTTGATTTAAAATAGGTCAATAGGAAGATATCATGAAATTGATTATTTTTTCAATATTATTTTCTAGTGTATTAGATCAAAATATGAATCATAAGTGGTTTTATAGAAAACAAAATTTTAAAAATATCAATGTTATTATATATTTGAGAAGGGTTTAAATTTGGACCAATCACATTAAACAATATAATAAATAAATATTTTATAATTTTTATTTTAAGGGAGCTATGAAAATAAGGGCAAATATGAGCCAAAGAATTACCATCCAGAATATTTTTGAGCCAAAAGGTGGATGTTAAGAGTATATTAGGGCATGAGTGCAAAATAATTTTGTACAAATTAATTAATTTTTTTGAATTTATTAAAGTAAAATATATATAAGAAATTAAATAAATATAATTTTCTTTTCTAAATTTTGACTTTATACTACCCATTCTATTAAGCCGCCCTGATCGCGCTGGTTCTGAAACGATTGGTTCGTTTCTCGGAGAAGACGAGAGGAAGAACGAGTTGAAGGGAGAAGAGAGAGGAAAAGCGTGGGTTATAATTGGGAGAAGAGAGAGTTTAGGATATGGGCCGGGCTGGAGGGTAATTGGACCGATTTTGAGTAAGTTTGGACCAAAACTTTGGTCTCAATTCTCAAAATTGATTTAAGAGATGTAATATTAAAGTATAAACTATATAAAATAAATAGCATAAGATAATGTGGCAAATTTATAAGAATTATTATACTTATATTAATGAACTTAAATAAAATTATATGAATACTCACGTTAAAAAAATATTATGTATGATTAATATCGATGACCCCTTATAGTTATTTGCATAATTCACTTAGACACCTTAACCAAGACTAGTATTTATTGAATACCTAAAAGGCTAAAATATACAAAATGTGTACCTATTAAACATAAATTGTGGATGTGACAAAAAATATGAATCTCACAAATATTAAGCGTGTGAATGGATCGAAATAATATATTTTTTATTTATTCTTATTAAAAAACTTGTACCTTTTTTCTTTTATTGAGCAGTAATAACTATTTTTTAAAAATTTAAAAGTGATTTCTTAATCAGCAAAAGAAAGTCATAATCCTCTTCCCCATTTTCATTTTTTGCTCAAAACTTCTGCACTTCTTTTCTCCATCTCCAGTTCTCAAACTTCTATATTATTTTTTTGCTTTCTGGAAAAAGTAATTGTTATATTTTGAAAACTCAATAATATATTTGTTATTAGGATCATATATGGGGTAGTATTTATGAAATATCTCTTTTGCTTTTGAGCAACTTTCACATATAGCAAACACACAATTCATATTTGTATGCTATAGCAAAGTTTGCATAATTGCGCTCCATAGCAAACATATATATGTATAATTCGCTATACATATACAAAAAAAACAGTTGTATAATCTGTTTTTGTATACATATACAAAAAGATCAATTGTATAAAGTGAGAGAGTCGAGTAAGCGAGCGAGATCTGGGAGAGTGGCGAGTGAGATCTAGGAGAGGGGAGAGAGGGGAACAAAAATATATGTATATATATAATATTCACGCATTTTATACATTTGCGTTTTTGTATAAAGTGAGAGAGGCGAGTGAGAGAGTGTGGCCAGCAAGAACTGAGAGAGGGGAGAGAGGGAATGAATATATATGTATATATACAATTTTCTCTCGCTTTATACAAACACAAACGTATTTTATACAATTTGCGTTTTTGTATAAAGTGAGAGAGGCGAGTGAGAGAGCGAGATCTGGGAGAGGGGAACGAAAATATATGTATATAAACAATTTTTCTCGCTTTATACAAACACAAACGCACTTTATACACTTGTGTTTGTATAAAAACGAGAGAGGTGAGGGAGAGAACGAGAATGTCGAGCGAGATTCACCAGGAGAGAGGTGAAACAACAACAGTTTGCTATGAGGTATAACTAAATCAAACTATATTTATAACATTTAATTTGAATTAATAGTTTGCTATTATATACAATTTCCCTTAAAATAATTATATTATATATCAAGAAGATTATAAGATTATATTGAATTTGTTATAGTATTATTACACAGTAAAATATGCATTGCATACAATGGAAGGGAGGGGCCTATATTGTCTAAATTTGAGAGAGTTAAATTTAGAGCAGGAAGGATATGAATACCTTTTACACTATTATTATAATTAAACAAATGTAACAAAACTAATTCCAAATAAAAAAAGAAATAAATTTGTGAGGCCACACACAATATAATTTTCATTTGAACCCAGAATTTTACGATACAAAATATAAATATATAGATAATATATTAAAATCTTAATAAATATTAGATATAAACTCATAAGTTTAATAGTACAACAAAATTAGTTGCAAAAATTTAATTCTTTAAATCTAGATTCTAAATTCACTTTTGTTTTAAACTTGAATAGTATAGTGGAGAAACTTAAAGAGGAGCAAGCGTAGAAGGATGTGGTCAGCTTAACTAAAACTTTCAATTATTTTCTAAAAATAAGCAACTATTTGTAGGACATCATCGAATCAATCATCCAATTTAACCTTTTTAGATGAGAAAGAAAATTAAATGATTCTAGAACTCATTTTAATCATTGATCGTTCTAATCATGGCTCTTCTCTGTCTATATAAAATAGAACAGAAAAATAGAAATACATCAAAACATGTATTTCTTGAATAAAAAACAGCATAGGAGTATATATTTTTTTATTATGCTGGGAAGTGTAATTATTAAGTGCCATTTCCATGTTTACGTTACGTTACGTCTTTTTCAATTAATTTTGGAGATGTATTTTTCTTAGTCCCCACACAGTTGTCCATAATTTGTGTCATTATTGGCCTCATCTCTGATTTCCTGCCCAACTTCAACTGCAATTATACATCTGTCCAATCCTTCATCTACCACAAATCATATGATTACATATTTACCACTTCATTATCAGTTTTGCCAAGTCCTTTTCCTTCATAAACCAAGATTTTATCATATCTTCTTCTTATTGATTCTTCTATCACGCATTGTTCGTGCCCAAATAAAACACACAAGGTAGAGTTAATATCTCAAAAGGTTACTCAACTTTAAAAATTTATCTAAGTAAATTTTATTTTGTATCAATAAAATCACTCAACTTAGATTTTTTTTCTATCTATAAAATCACTCAACTTAGGCTTTTCTATCAATAAAATATTAAAAAAAATATTACAAGACAAAATATTATTTTTTTTAAAAATAGTTGGGAGTCTTATTACTACACTTAATATTTAGGAGTCAGATTTTCAAGTTAAATAAAGGATATCACTCAGTTTTTCTATAAATTATATACTGCTGCTATAATTATTGAGTTTAAGGCATATAATAATTACCACTTAAAATTATTATTCTAAAAATCATAAACTATCAAACTAAAATTCTAACTTTAGAGTCGATAAGATATCAAACTAACTTAATCACAATAACTAAGCTATAGTGACTATAATGTCATATTTCGACCAATCATCATATACTATTCTCTCCTTTAATTTAATCTCGAATCCCCTTGCGTAAGGATTGACACTGCCCTATTTTATTATTTTGCTTATCTGATAAGGGTGTGCAAATCAAGTAAATAATTTTATTTTTTTTAAATCATCGCCGCCAGAACCATCTCATATGGTGCTTCCGTATGAATGATATTTTTCTGGGTAGTTCATTTCATAAAAAATATTAAGTACTACCTTATTATAATTAGAAATAAATTTAATTTTAAATTTTTTTATTCTATTTACCATTAATGAAATGACAAGATAACTAAAAATAATTCTTGATTTTTTTTATACTGTATTCATTTCAGAAATTTAGGTAACTGATTCTTCTCTTCTCTCTCTCTGCGCCGATACTGCTCTGTTGCAAAACAGAATCCCGATGCTTTTTTCCAACTGCTAGCGCAATTCAAGGTTCTTAATTTCAGTGGCTGCCGCTGCAGATTCTTAATTCCAACTTCATTGGGTCCTCAGTTTTTCAGTTTTATTTTTTTTTAGATTCCCTTGCAAATGGCAGAGTACGTAGTTGAACGAAAAACAGATTCACATTCACCTAGTTGTCACACACCGTTGCCTCCACAAATGTAAATTACGGTCGTGATGGTGGTGGTTATTACCATGGTCGCCGTAACATCTCCGATGACTATCTCCAATTCCACTTCCCGTCACCGGAAACCTCCACTCTTCAATATCTTCTTCTTCTTCTTCCTCTACGTCTTCCTCTGTTTCCACGGCAAAATCTTCTTCTTCTTCTTCTTCGAGATCGCGAATTAGATGCAATCTCAACCGTCCATCTTGGCGGGAAGCACGGAAAGTTTTGGGCCGATCAATTTTCACCTCTGTCAATTCTAACCGTCCATCTTTCCTCACCGCACGCATGAAGAAGTTGGGCTTTCCATCTTGACTTAATGACGATAATGGCGGTGGAAACTCCTTCTTTTCTTTCTTCTCCCCCAAATTACTTCTTTGCCAGCACCTTGAATTAGTACTAGCCGTATTATTATTGCTACAATTTGATTTCCTAGACAACAAAGCTAATTCGTCACGATAACCTAGATCCTCAATTTGATCATCTACTGTCCTCTCATCGGAGCTCTCGAAACCGAGACTCTCTGTACAAGACATTAATCCATCAACACTCCCTCCAACTTCGTCTAAGAACCCAATTCCGCCGGGATCCTTTTTCGCTGCGGCGGCTGGCGGTGTCATGGAGTAATTGGTTGTGTTTTGAGGGTCAAAGTTGTCGCTGTCGATTGAAGCGGCGGTGAAAATATTTAGGCGGGGGAGAGAAGAGTCTAGAAGTGTTCCATTGTGTTTGGAATTTGATAAACACAAGAAAGGATGGACTTTTTCACTGCAAAAGCTCGTCATCATATAATAGTATGCTTTTGAGGCTTAGCTTGGAAGATTTGGATATATATATAAGGGCTTTGAGATTTTTTTTCCTAAAAGAATAGAGTATGTAATTCAAGATGAGAATATTTTTTATAATGAATCTTTTTATGTATAACTAGGTATAAATAAGAGGATGTGAAACTTTTTTTATGACAATAATTATCCCTATACCACATATCTTTTAACCTCATAACTAGAGCGGTCAATATGGGCTAGCCCATCCCATTCGAGCTAATTCATACAGGCTTTGATATTTTATGGGTCAGGTCAGACTAGCCCATTTTTCGTGTGGGCCAGAAAACGGTCGGCCCAACCCACAAGTACGTGGGCTACAGGCTTGCCGGGCCAGCCCAATTTTTTAAAAGTTATATATTTTTTATAATTATTAAATTAAATTATAAATTATAATTTAAAAATATTATCATAAATATCGACAAAACAATATTACATGGTGTTAATGTTACTACTTGTTAATCAAAATCCACAAATAAAATTATCTTTATAATATTTATTAAGTTTTTTTTCAAGTAAAAGTATAAATATCTAAATAGAAATATTAACCTAACTGTTTTGCAATGATCACAATAAAACACAAAAAACATGACAATATTCCAACCATAAAAATGTAAACAATAAACTCCTGATAAAATCATGAAACTTATGGCGTATCTAACACTTCATGATCATCTTCATCAAGCATATCTGAATCAACTTGTGGGAAGGTTGTCTTAACATCTTCATTTTCATATGTAATTTATATGCGGTTTCAATTAGTTAAATAATTAAAAAATAACTAAATTGAGAATTATAATATTTAAATGTACACAAAAATATATTACCAGTTTGAGAAAAACCATGTAACTAGTTTCGAGTAGCAACAAGTGTTTGGACATTTTCATTGTGGATGCAACTTCTATACTTAGTGATTTCCTAAAAAACTTTAAATAGATTTTGAGTTTGGATCTCTTTAATTTTAAATTTTAATATTATATTATATTTTTTAATTAATTTGTATTAGCCCACGGGCCGGCCCTACCTATTATTTCTCAAGCCCTACAAATCAGCAGGCTTATTCAGGCCGGGCTAAAAAGCCCTTTTTTTAAATGGGCTACAAAATTTTTAGCCCAGCCCTATTAAATCCCGAGTTAGGCCAGGCCGGCCCAACAGGCCTAACCCATATTGACAGCTCTACTCATAACTTATACTTTAAATTCCCATAAGTTTCCATGTGTTTCATGACCTAGTCTACTTTTAATATATGCATACATAAATTAAGAATTTGAAGAGAATAGGGTGTACATAAATTTTATCTGTACTTCAAAGGTAGAGAGAGCTATTTCAATAGTCTCTCGATTTAAGAAAAGATACTCTAATTTTATCTCATCTGCAATCGTCTATAGCTAGTCTCTTACACATCTACACTAGGACATTCAAACATTTCCTCTGCATATGTCTGAATCATTTCAGTCTTGCTTTTCGCATTTTGTCCTTCATTGTTAAGTCACTCCCACTTTATTCCAAATATGAACTCATTTTTCGTTCTATATCTCCTAGTATCATGCACACATCCTTAATTTTGCAACTTTCAACTCTTGAATGTGAATATTTTTTACTAGTCAACGTTATGTCTCACAAAATGTAGTTGGTCTAACTACCATTCTATATATTTTTTTTTATATTTTAGTGGCACCTTCTTACCGCACAAGACTCCAGATACAATTTTTTATTTATTTTGCTTGCACTAATACTTTGAGTGACATCCTTATCAAATTTTTTCTTTAATAACAAACACAAAATACTTGAAACTTCTTTCTTTAAGATGACATTCATATGAAGTCTTACTTTCATATCCATCTCATACATATGTTACGTCATTAAACTTATACTCCAAATATTTTATTTATTTTTAATATAGAGACCAAATAAAATAAAATAAAATGGAGATAGTAATGAGGATAAAATGAGAAAATAGAAAGAAGATGAGGTCCGCATAGTATAGATATGGCTAAAGAGAAGGCTGTCTATATATGGAAGAACATTTTTGGGGCAGGGTAATGGCATGGATACTCGGAACTTGTTTAATTTATTATTATATTAGCCCACTATTTTCCTTTTATTGTCTGCACCAATTCCTGCCATAGAAATTTGCGTATTTTCCTATAAAATATTATCTAAAAAAGATGACCTCTCTTTCACAACATTTTTTATATAGCCTTTTATCTTATATTTATCTCTTTATAACATTTTTATTATATATATTAATAATTTTTTAAAAATACAGTAGCCAACTTAATAAAAAATAAAATTTCTAAAATGAACAGTAATAAGCGTAGAGATTTTGAAAAAATATTTTCGATAGTTTAATAAATCATTCATATAAATTAAAATAATATACTATATTTTTTCATCATTTAAAGATTTTCCCTGTGTGACGAAGCTAGCATTTGTTATTTAAGTTTACTAGGTATAAAACTTTTCATTTTACAAGTTAGGTTTCCACGGAAAATATTTTTATAACATTAAGAAATAAGAAAAAAAGAATTTTGAATAGTTTTTTTTTTCATAATAATAAAATGATATTAAACTCCAAATATTATTATTAGCCTATTAGGTGTATGACAATTTTTTTTATAAAAATAAAATTTAATGTTGTTTAGTAGTTGTCAGAATTCTTAGCACCATTACTGTTGGGAGTGACGATTGCAAATAATGTCCGTCCTTTTGAGAGACTCCAAATAAATAATTTTGTAAAAAATCTCACCTAACAAATTATTGATGTTAAGGAATCCACATAGCCACAGAGACTGTGAACCAATTAGAGAAAGGAAACTTATTGATAATATATTACTTAGTATGTACTTAATTAACTAGTACAAACAAATTAGGAACCTTTTTAAAGGTTATTTCGAAAATAATTGTAAATTTAGGTGGAGACTACAATTTGCAGGAATTATTATCCACATCCACAATGGTACCATATTTTTGTAATACTCTATGAATATTATTATTATTATACTCTCTCCGTCTCATTTTATATGTCACCTTTTTACTTTGCACTTGCATTAAGAAATGTTATAACTTTATCCTTCTACCCTTATTTAATGTTTTCTTAAGTCAATTTTATTAATAAATGACAAGATTAATTAACTATTCTATCAAGGGTATAATAGGCAAAATATGATAATTTATGTATAAATTTTATAAAATGACAAGTATTGTGGTCCAACTATTTATATAAAGAGATGACAGATGACATATAAAATGGAATAGAGGGAGTAATATATACTACATCCGTTTAAAAAAGAATGACATAATTTGACTTGGAACGGAGTTTAAGAAAAGAAAGAATACTTTTTAATCTTGTGGTTCTAAAAGTTATATTCAATGTACCAAAATGTTCTTTAATTTTGTAGTCTTAAATATGCCACGTGAAAAATTAAAATTAAAATGTGGTCAAAAAAGAAAAGTGGTCATTTATTTTGAAACAGACTAAAAAGAAAACCAAGTCATTCTTTTTAAAACAGAAGGACGATTACTACAAATTGCATGTGTACATTCCCCATTTTTGAAAACGAATCCTCCTAGATTCGAATAATCTATCGACTGCGTAAAAGATTCCCCTTAAAAAGGAAAACTTGGTTTTATTTCTTTTGTCAATAATAATAATAATAATCCCATAGATATGATTCAGAATTGAAGGATAGGTAGATCTTATCATTATCTTTTGAAAATAGATAAATTATTTTCGAAAGAAACTCAATTTAAATAATCAGAAACATAACAAATGGCAGATAACATTAAGGGAAAAAAGAAAGAAGAAAAATTATGACAAAAGATTTACATATAAATGTATGATATTATTAACTGATTTCGGATAATAAAATGTGGCGGAAAAAGGGCCAGCAAAGCGAAGAAATGAGCTGGATCTGGATGGGGAAGTTACCATTCGGTTCTCTTTTGGGTCCCATTTTCCCTCCTCATGCAATTTACTTATTTTTTTCATCCTTGGCGAATAATAAGATAGGGAGAGGCGGATTCATATTATTTGATGGGATGTACGTGCGTGCATCTGTTATATTTGAATTTTATATATATATTTATTTTGGGAAATAAACAGAAAGTAGGATATAATAACAGTGTACCATGAGGAGCATATGTATGCCCTTGTGCCGCTGGTACAAGACAAAGAAACTATTCGCTAGATCAGGGTTCGAATTCAACTAGAACCCTATTTCACTCATTAGTGACGCGACCATGCCTAAATTAAGATAATATTGATATTGATCACTCAAGCTCATATTTGAGTCGTTAGTGACCATGCCTAAATTAAGATAATATTGATATTGACGCACTCAAATCTTTAAATTCTGAGTTCGCCTCTAAATATTGATGTATTACCCAGAAATTAATAACACTCCTATTTCGGAAAGGGAATATAGAAGTGACTCAAGGGCGGACCCACCTTATATCAAGGGGTGTCAACCGACACTGTTTCGTTAATTTTTTTTAGTATATATACATATACAAAAATCTGAAAAAAAATATAAAAAGAAATACAAATATTATTAAGGACATTTTGGTTTGTTGGTTTGCACAACGAGTGAAACGATTATTCCCTTCAGCGAGCACAAGTTTGAATCCCAGTAACGCCGATTTTTCTTTTTATTTTTGGGGCGTTTTGTGAAAAGTTCATCAGAAAAATTCGAACCTCCAACCATTAGCTTAAAATAAACCAATTGAACTAGAATACAACTTATTCTCTGTTATAGAAATTTCATTACTTGTTCAAATTGGAATCGGACACAATAATAAGTTATAAAATAAAACCTTAGTTGAAAAGAAATCTCCAAGTTTGCAAATTGCAAGTGATGTTGTGTTGAAGGCTTGATGCTATGCGACTTTTTTTTAATTGTAAGTTCACTTTTCTTTTTATCTTCCATCTTTGTAGTTTTAGTTGGAATTTGTTGAATATTCATCAACTTTTTATAGATTTAATTATTTCTTGAAATTGTTTAGAGTTATCTAATTTATTTAAATGTATCGGTGGCTACTGCTACAGATGAGAAAGTTTTTTCGGCGATGAAGTTGATTAAGACTGATTTACGAAATTG